TCTCAAATGTCTTTGGGTATCGACTACATATGACCCCACTCCCGTGACAGTTTATTAAAAAAACATTGGACAATATATTTGCTCTGGAAACAGTCGCAACCTGCAATTGCTTTTAAGTCCAACTTGTTTCTATGAAAGAAGAAAAAAGTATGAATTATGAGAATACCTTAACAGCAAACTGCACTTCTTCCCCACTTGTGAGATATATAGGCATAGTTTCAGGAACAAGTATCCATGTAACCAAACGTCCTTTTACTCAAGTCTATCTTACAATAACAAAACTTTATTAAATTTAAATTTGTCCCTAGGGCTTAGCTCATCTGACACAAATATGCAAACAATTAAATATTCACAATAACAAAAGAATCCAACCCCCACAAGGCAAAACTAGATACAACATTTTAATAATTCAAAATGGTTCAAAGAAACTGTTTTCCAATATATTTCCTCAATAGTGTTTCTCAGCATGTTGCTTGACGCCTCACTCAGAAATGTTTCAGCAATGACAGCAGCCTGTCAATAATTGGGACCGGACCAGACAAACCAGTGATTGACATCAAGAGCAACATCCCATGCTGTCAGGTTACGATGACACATAATCAACCAATCACAATTGCAGAGGGATTGCAGAGGGACCACCCAATCCACTCAGTTACCTCGTACAACAAGCATTGGTTGGCAGTGACCCGAAATCATCGAAATCATCACATCATTGTGTTAATTGTGTTAATGCATCATGCAATGTACAACCATCTCACATCACTTTCCAGGTACAAGTCGGTTGATGATAAGAATAAAAAATATCTTAATAAGTATCCTTAAACCTTTTCATAATATCATGATTATTGTTCCCTCTAAGGTCCATTAATGATGAGAAGCAAGAATATTCTCTTTAAAAGGGCCATATTATCTGTACAAAAGTTTGGTTGGATGTTGACAAACAAAAATATTCTATAAATGACCTTATACTCTCCTCATTATGTCATGTGATTTTATCACCTGGGTATTTTTACCTGCGCAAAAACATGTGTGACCTTGTCTGCCCAATGCAAAGGCTGAAGGTGAAACACACAAAAAGGTCATAGCTGAGTCAAAAATCAAAATACCAAAAACACGCCACATGTTACGGCGCTTACCACATACTGACTGCCGATCCGATTTCACAATGATACAATTCGTAAAGATGCCATTTCTAGGAGCATCCGTGCAAAGATTCAGCATCATTGGCAGGGTTTGAAATTAACATAGACGCTTGTCTGAGACTGGTAAGATTAAGGAAGGATAAATGACAAGCATCAACCTGCTTCGTCTAACTTTAAAAAACAGGTAAACAGTAGCAATTAGACAATCCAGGAACAGTCAGAGATGAGTGACTTTGGTTAGACAACATGGGCATGTTGATCAACAACTTTACTGTGAACAGGGGTGCACAAAATTAAAACAAAAAAAACATTTATATCTTATTGCATCGTTTATTTATCTATCGTAACACTTTGTTCACTCACATTTCTTAATGGGAATTTTTTTTTATTTAATCTTATCCCATTACTAAGTATTTGAATAAATACATTGCTATTAATCTCTCTATTGTACCACTAAGTAGTCCCAGGTAAAACACCCCTATGCCCTAGTAATCAAATGACATTTCCTCAATGGTTACCACTTTTATAGGTAGATGGATGAAACTCTGTCGCAGATCATGTTCTAGGACAAGTGAAAAAAATCCTTACCCTGACAGACCTCTGAGACTGCTGGCAAATAAAGCATGAACTTGAAAACTGGATTTGACCAAAGAATTACAAACATGTTATAAAGATGTTACTCAGATGAAAATGGTCCCCGAAACACTGCAAAATAGGTCTAAAACACATCTATGATACATGTATCAAATACATCACCATCGGCTAACTATTTCTTGTTTTTCTTGTTTTTAACCACTATCAAACATGGGAGTTGACTTTCTTTAGCGTGGCAGTTTTGTGTAAATTTTATGAGACATAGATGTTGAAAAAGTAACCTCAAGTCAAGACTGACGGGCGTAGTAAAATCACCATAGCCCTCGGTTCATGCGAGTTTAAAATCAAAATAGAACCTAATTCATTTAGTTCCTCAAAATTAATGTTAAGCAAACATTTACACAGCATAATGATGACAGAAAGAGTTTTTTTCAACCTGCTGCTGTCACAGGGCCTTATCTGGGATTTAACAGCCCTTGACAGCCAAATTGGGAGAATATTGTTAGTTTGTCCAAAATTAGGACTCCATTATTTCGGAAGCATTTTAACATTGCATTGTTAGATTGCATTCGGTGCAATAATGTAAATTAAGCATTCAAGGCCCTTCATCCTTATTGGGTCTGTTGTCAGTAAAATACAAGCCATCACACTAGTTGTAACTATATTAACATGAATGGGAAATTACAAATTCCCATTTGGGAATTTTTACTGACATTTGCTTCAGACTTGGGGCTGAATACTGACCAGGTCTAGATAAATCCCTGTGTAAAATGCATTGTCCCACACATACAATTAATCTGGCCTCCACCTACAGATAGCAGGCTTTAATAAAATGTTGCTGATGTTTCTGTTCTGCAGGCTCAGGTACCAGTAAAATACTGAAATATATCTTCTCTTTATCTGAAGGGGTGATGTTTCACATGCCTAGTGGTTATTTGTTCGCTCGTCACGCAAACATCCTGGGTTCTATTCCCCACATGGGTACAATGAGTGAAGCCCATTTCTGATGTCCCCCTTTCGATACTGCTGGAATAGTGCTGTAAGCAGCATAAAGTCATACTCACTCACTCACTCTTTGTCTTATGTTTCCATCCCTCCCTCTCATTATCTCCTCAATCTAATTTTACACTTCTCTAAGCTTTTCTTTCACTCACTCCCTTACACTATCTCACTCCTTCCCTCCTCGTCCATTCCTTCCCACTAGTCTGTGACAATCAATCATCCTCTCTCACAGCAGACCTATATGATAGAGTTTCCTCATATTCAAGCCCATGCCCCCCCCCACTCTCTTCCATCAGACCAAAATACCTCCTGCCCCAAGTCACCCCCCCCCCCCCAAGTAATAATAGCCTTACCCCTCCCTCTCAGCCCAGAACTAACTCCTGCCCCCCAGTTAGTGTGTCCTCCCCCCAAAAAGCCTCACCCGTCCTCTCTCAGGACAGAACTACCTCCTGCCCCCCAGTTAGTGTGTCCTCCCCAAAAAAAGCCTCTCCCGTCCTCTCTCAGGACAGAACTACCTCCTGCCCCCCAGTTAGTGTGTCCTCCCCCAAAAAAGCCTCTCCCCTCCTCTCAGGCCAGAACTACCTCCTGCCCCCAATGTCTCCTCCCCCTTTCCCCCAGCCTCACCCCTCCCTCTCTCAGGCCAGAACTACCTCCTGCTGGGAGCCAGCATCAGGAGGAGAGGATATAATATTTGACATTTGCCAGTCATACCTGTCGTATTTCCCTGCCATACTGGCAGCTATTTACAGCTGTCAGAGAGAGTTGTAAGATAATCGGCTATTTACACCTGGAGGTTTGTTAAGGCCTGTCTCAGACCTGGAGAAACACAACCCTGCTTCCAGATTACACACCCATAAATCATTTAAACTGCTTAGCTAATGAGGTTTTGGAAAATACATCTTGGAACACAATACCAGCTCTTGATTCTGACATTGTAAATTAACGTTTTATCAGTTTACATCAACAATGCCACGTTAAACTTAATAGCATGGGAACTTGTTTTCTAATATCAAACTACATGTATGACCACTTAATGTCTTTTCTCAGCATATTTGGCTTGTAATGTCAAACTGAGAATGAGAAAAAATTATGTCCTTAATGAAGGAAACAATAAATAAATAAATAAAACACTAATAGTAATAGCTTCCTTTTCCATACAAAAATGAGTGTATCATGGAAAAGGTTTACCACAATTATTAGTTTCAGTGAACTAAAAATTAACTGGTAGATATATTAACATGGACCTTGGTCCTTGATATTAAATAGCCCTTCCACTGAGGCCACTTTTGTACATGTTTAATAATTTTGGTTATGAAAGCAATAAATCTCATATCAAACAATGGTAGGTTATGCATATAAGTCATTATAGTTATTTAATAAGATTTATGTACACAAATATGATTAAATGTTAACATTTGTTAAATATGTATTTACATTGTTGATACTGCCCTGAACTGTAAAGTTACATCCCTTCACAGCTCAATCACGTTTTTTATATTTCAAAAGACATGCTTGGGTCATCATTGGTTCACAATTTAATCATGTATAATTATTACGAACCGTACGAACTATCTGACGTAGTACATCACTACCAGCGTAACACACATTCCCGGTATGTTTACATGACTACACGCTAAACGTCATATCGCACGTGTATATTACGGGAGGTGAAATATACAACACCTCACATCATTGTCTAATCAACAATTACTGCACGTGTCGCTCATCACGCCCGTGCACCTCACATAACGGTGCTAATAACCCTCGGAAGGCCCACTGTCACGTGACCTCAAGGTTTCCCCAAGTCCAGTTTTATTGTACTGTTTTTTTCCTAAGGAGTTGCGTGTTGACCAACCTACACACGTCATTTTCATTCACTACGGGGTGGAATATATTGGCATAATACACATCTTGGGAAAGAAATCATTTATCCCCTTGTCAGGAGGTTCCATAGGAGGGCAGATTCTGTAAACTAATGCAAAACCGGCTTGTTTTTTCTAAATCATGTCAAGAAATGGCCAAAATAGATCGGCAAAATGGCGACCGCGGTTAAGACACAACTATCAACTGATTTCTGCATGTTTCGCTATTTACCCGCCTGCATATGGAACGGGTTTAAGGCTGTGGTCAAGATTGGCCGCCCCGGTCAGTCCCCTAAGATAATAACGGGATCCGTAAACGGGAAATCAGCGCTTTTGTGATACGCTACGCTCGAGGCATGAATAATGCACGGGAGATCGGTGGCAACAGTAAAACACTCACCTTTGCACAAACGGAGGATCCCGATCATCAACAGAATCCGTAATATGTACTCCATGTTAGAAGGCATGGGGAAACCTTCGCTTAGTATCGAGTCTTATTCTCGACATTTAAGTTTGAGTATATCGCACCACACATTCACCAGTTCTGATTCTCCCCCTAACCTTACTAACATTCTCACAACATAACTGCACTACTTTCTCGCTGGAAATCCCTACGCCAACGTGGCGCTCAATTAATTAGCGTGACCATGCGTATCGAACACCAGTACTCACGGGCTCAGTGGGCGATTACATCACGTTGTTATCATAGCTGTAAGATATGCATATCACACTTCAGGTGAACAGTAGTTAATTATTGCAATGGGACTATGTTTTCGTGGCGGAGTATTGTTTAGAGTGTGCGTCCATTAAACTGGGGCACCTGTCTTGGGCAAATGTGAAGGGTTACATTCCGTGATTTGCAAGGCTACTAGCAGTAGCAAACAACTAGTTAATCGTGAGAGAATTGGTTTTGGCGATTAAAATGTCGCACAGATGATTAACGAAGTTCAATTTCCTGGTATTGTCATTTTAAACTGGCACGTTCAAATAACACAATTGACAAAAGTTTTGGGGCATTTATTTTGTCCTTCCGTTTGTAAACTGACCCTTAAACGGTGAATAATAGAAAAAATCACTGGATTACATACAAATACTATAAAAGCATATCTTAAAAAAATAATTCGCTTAATGTTACTTTAAAAATGTAAACAAACACTTTAGATATATTTTCAGTGTATATGACAAGGCTTATAAATGTTGGTACGTGTGTTTGTTGCAAATTTAATCCCATGTGGACACAAACTACGTTTAAGACTAATCTCGAGATATACACATATGTATATAAGTTCGTCACACCTGTTGTAGTAATATGGCTTTTACCACCCCACAACATTAAACACGAAACAAATACCTAATCGTACTTCATATGCTGTATATATTAATATATCCCAAGATACAAACACCGCGCATCACTTTCTTCCACTAGTATTTAACCCTTCAGAAGGGCCCGTGTTTAATTGAGAGAGGTAAACGTGCCACAAGCTCTTTGGGGTTAACAACGTCTGTGTAAATCAGCCACTCATTGTGTGGCACTGGCAGATATACTGAATGTTATTATTAATATATGAGTGGAGAGTTACACGCATAAACTTATTGTTTTACCTGAACAGCACAGGGAGCCATAAACGTCTCTTCTATGACTGACAGGAGATCGTATTTCACGTTTACAACCCTGAATTCAGCTGTTGTGCTTATTAAGTAAAGTACGGCATTGTCAAAATGACCTAAAATGAATAGGTATTGTGGTGTTCAACTTTGTCCACTAAATATTTCACCGTAAAAAAACACACGTATATTTAATAAATGGTTAGCGGTAACCTTAATTATATAACACGATTTTGTCGTTATATGTCGGTTTATGCATGTCATGAGCCTGTTTTAAATATAGTGATTGCATGCATAGCTATTTTATTACTGTTTTACATGTATATCGAGGCAAAATGTGTGCTGGAAATGAAAAACACCCAAAGGGTCAACATATTTGAACCATAAGTATTATTTTGCATATTTAGGAAATTTGTATAAAAATGTCCGCGCATTTATTGAAAGCAGTTGGTTATTATGATAAAGGGATTCGGACGACGTGAGTAATAGGCTTGTTTCATGCTGAGATCATTACGTATGTGTTCTTCATTAGGCGTCCGGGACACACACACGATCCCCGGGGTGTCGCAGTTCAGCCCCGCCCCTCTCGCTCAAATCATGGGACCACTGGTTATAAACATTTACTGTTAGATGGACCACATGTCGGTGAGATATGCCTCTTATCACCCCGGGGAACTAAGCGATTAAGTCGCTGAATGTTAAGGTGTTACGCAACAATGTGCCACTGTTAATTTTACTGTTATATATTGTGTAATAAATTACATGTTATAAAACACTGGTTGGGCATGTAAGGATTGCAGTTTGATAATCTCATTCGTTTAAGTGATATGGTAGCGTTCACCCATCATATCAGCTGATGATATAATTATATATTACTATAGGGTGTTTGACTTTCACCACACACACACACACACACACACACACACACACACACACACACACACACATATATATATATATTGTTACATATAAAACATAATAAATCATGATTCATTATCGTATATAAATAAAGATTTTGTAAATATGTTATATATTTGATAAGAGCGTCCCATATTGTACATATGACCTGTTATTAAATTCACATCTTGACCATAGAATAGATAAAAAGCACAATATCTATTCTTACAGTGAGTGTGTTTGGTTTAACGCCGCTTTTAACAGTATTTCAGTTTTATCTCGGCGTCTCAGCTTAATTAATGTGGGAGGAAAACCCTAAGTGATGCAGGTCTCAGATGTTTACCACTTCGGTGAAACTCACGACCACGGGTATGGTGCTGACAAACCTAGAAACATAATCGGGGCGAACCGGGATTCGAACCCACAATCATAGGTTTCTGGCGTGCCCAAGGGACGCAACTCTGCACAGCGAATTGTTGCGCCCTTGACGTCTCGGCCACCGGTGCTGTTACATTTATACTGAGGGAAATACATAAGCGAACGGCTTTAACGGGACTCGTTGGGTGGCATATGTTCCCCGATGATAACACGTGTGAGTGAGTATGGTTTTACGCCGCTTTTAGCAATATCACGCCGGGGATACCAGAAATGGGCTTCACACATTGCACCTAAGTGGGGAATCGAACCCGGGCCTTCGACTTGACGAGCGAACGCCTCCGACACTTGGCGACACCACCGACCTAGACGCAGGAGATTGCTTTTAGTAATTCTCTGGACACTCTAGATTCTAAAACATCACTCAGAGACTTATTTGTAGATATTATTAATCTTTATTAAATGATTTTAAATGAACGGGACAGTTAACACTATTTTGGAATGATTCATGTGTTCCCTTATTTTTGTCCATCAGTATGTATAGTAACAATTAATTTGAGGGCAGTAAGCCATGTTTTTATAAGGCTACTCAAAGAAAATGTCTTGTTTCTCTGAGCTGTCTGTAAAATATCTCCCGATCATCAATTTAAGACAAATCCTTGAAGCACCGCCAACACATACCTTCTATTTTGAATTTCGTCATATTTCACGGGACCGCCTCCGTGGTCTAGTGGTAGAGCGTCCGCCCGGAGAGCGGAAAGTCCGGGGCCGCGTCATACCAAAATACGTTAAAAGATGGTACTTGTTGTTACCCTGTCTGGCGCTATTTAAGGGTCTAAAATAAGGACTGGTCGGTCGGAGTCAGTATACTGTGTCTGAGGGGTATATATGTTAAACTGCGGCATGGTATCTCAGTGGGCTAGCACTATAAATCCGGACTAGTACAAGCAGCCACACACACACGTACATGCATGTCGCTATATAAGTGCAATAATCTTGGACGCGACGTTAAACCCCATTTCACCTCACCTCACCTTATTTCACGGAAACTAGCATGTTACTCCTATCAACCATCATCCACGCACGAGAGCGCTACCAATGGAAACACTTTTAATGCTGGTGAGTAAGTGAGTATGGTTTTACGCCGCTTTAGCAATATCCTAGGAATATCACGACGCGGGACACCAGAAATGACCTTCACCTATTGTACCCATGTGGGAATCAAACCCGGGCCTTCGGTGTGACGAGCAAACGCTTTAACCGCTAGACTACACAACCGCCCGAACTGCTGGTGAAGACACACAGAATGCCACACAAAAATTTTACAACCAAAAGTGTGCATGTCCCTATAATTGAGTATTTATTTATAAATACGCCTTTAAAGCTTACATTTCCTTTTTTTTACTTTTGTCAAGTGGCATCGTGGCGCATGCAGGAAATAGTAGACTACAGAAACCAGTTTTAACCACATCATAGTTATACAGCGGTATTCCGGCGGTAATTGAAAGTAGGGCCATTTCCCTGTGTGTAGCGTTTCAAGTAAACCACATCAATCAATTTTGTTGTCTTTCTAGTGGAACGACTGATATTTTTTGCGGCGTACTTCCAAACTGAGTTTGTGCATGAATGGCGTTCATTCCACATGACAGTATAAACGGGGTTCCTTCCTATGTACCAATCACATAAGCTGGTTCCCGGCTCACTATGCGCTTCGTCAACTATAGTGTGATATTAGAGACGGGGCCGAGCTTACCAATCACACGACTTGTTTCTATAAAAAGGTCTCCTGCCTACCATTAATACGACGTGTTCCTATAAACTGGGCTTCTGGCTTGTTTCTATACATGCATACCGAACTTTTGCCAAAAACGTTTGACAGGATTTGCTTGCAAACTGCTTGATAACAGCGCCACTAAACTAAAACGAAATACTGACTTCTGATAAATGCGGCTTAAAGTACAAACTGGGTTTTCGCTTGTGCGCTTTACGCGACCTTTATATAATATTGAATTTAACTCCAGCCTTCCTGGATTCTCTCTATATACAGTTTGATGCGACCTACGTTTAAACTGAAATCCCACATACGCTGCTATTCCTTATGTAAACAAAATACGGTTAGTTAAGAAATACACGACGAGTGAGAGTTGTTTATCATAGAATAAAACACTGCAGGGAGAATAAACCATGAGGGACGCAGCCCAGAGTGGTTTATTCTCCCTGCAGTGTTTTATTTGACGATAAACAACGACCACGAGTCGTTTATTTCTTATATGAGATATCAGCATTATGTACAGCCTCTTTAAAGATGTTGATAAAATGTACAGTCTTTAAAAATATTAACACCTATTTAAATAACGATGACTCCGTTAATAGAATCCCACCTCGGCAACGTCGGACAAGTCCATTTTAAGCACAGGTGGGTATTTCCCGCATATTCTCACAATCCTCAAGTTGATTACCTGTACCTTGTCTCCAATACTGATTGTCATATCTCTCCCGGGTTTGGTTCATATCGTTCGGCCATCGCGTTTATCTGCGTTGCCCTTCTACATCTATGGGGAACAACTCACTAGACGCTACATCTACGGAGAACAACTCACTAGACACTCCCCTCTCGAAAGACCCGTGAAGATCCCGGGGTAGAATAGGTCCTCAGCAACCCATGCTTGCCGTAAAAGGTCACTATGCTTGTCGTAAAAGGCGACTAAGGGATCGGG